GGGCGCCTCTGCTGGCTCGTACCTCACAGCTGCGGACGCCGAAGAGCTTTACCGGCAGGACTCGGCTTCCTGCTCCAGCAGCCACGTCCCCCGGTGGCTTGACTGCTCCCCGCGCCCTCAGCCCTGCCCGGAGCTGAGTCGTCGGGTCCCGGAGGGGCCCGGTCTCGACCTTCGGCCTCTGACAAGCATGCGGACTGCTGTGGTGATAAGCGCGTTTCCTCTCCCCGTATAGCTGCCCCAGCACCCGCCGGGCTCCCCTGAGCGTGCCGGCCCCAGGCGCCCCAGAAACACACGCACGTCCGCACGGACTGACGGGCTTCGGGGCGGCACCGACCCTCGTGAGTCGGTCCCTAGCTTAGAAATATCGTAGTTTACAGGCGACACTAGTTGTTTTTCATGAAATGTCTACATATGCAAATGAAGAATTTTTAGTTAGACGTGTTTTTAACCATAAACGCTCAACTGTGTTTTTTTTCCTTTTGTAGCCAGCTCGTCTTTCAAGCCATTGACAGGTGAGTCTCGAGTCCTACCTGGCAGCGTGCTGCCACCGCACGTCACCCGAGGGCCTGACTCCTCAGTGACCCTCTTACACGTTTTTCTCTTCACTGGTCGGAAGTAAAAACCTTAAAACACACACACAACAAAACTCTCCTGTTTACACAGACCGGTCTCCCCAGTGAGATGAGACTCTCACGCCCCATCCAGTAGCCAGATAGTATCTGCAGAATTTCATATTTATGTATGCATTTTATTTAAACGGAGAACGAAAGCTTGGCTCTGACTTAGTTTCGCATGTAGCTCTTATGACATAGTCTTTTGTACCTTCCCGGCCGCAATGGGTGTTTGGCGAGTGTAGACTCTGCACAGCCTCGCCCTGCGCCCAGTGGCCAGGTGTGCCACCATCAAACAGCCCGTCCCTCCAGAAGGCAGGTGCCCGGCCCCGCCCGCCAGGGGCTGAAGGACATTTGACTTTTATTTTTGTATTTAAATGACATGAATGTAAACGGCACAGCTCAGGGTCGTTTTGGAGCCTGTTGACCTTATGTCTCTGCCTGTGATTTTCTTTCCTAAATGAAAGCTCCACGTAGCAACCTGGACTCAGTTGGGAAGGGAACCGCCAAATGCTTTGGGTGTCAGAGTTTTTTGTAGCCGAGCTCTGCTACCTTACGTCTTATAGAGTTCCAGAAAGTTTTGTTATTGTTTGCTAAACTTTGAAGAAATATGTGCCTCAGTCTATAAGTTTTGTCTTCTCTTTTCTGCACTATAATACCTGACGGTTTGACCAATTGACGCACCTGCTGGGAGCGCGACCTGCTCTCAGTAGATTGTGCCGTCGCAGCGCAAGCCGCGGTGACCATAAGTGGCCTGACGTGTAAACATTTTCAGGGAATGCAGAAGGTGTTCGTTCACCTAAGAGACAAAACCTTTATTCCATGTGCTCTGCTCCTCTCTGTACATAGCTTTTTTGGCTCATAATCCTAATTGTATACTTTCAGGTATTTTTGTACAAATAAGGGACTGATGTTCTGTTTCTTGTAATTCGAAATAAACATTAATCCAGCATTCTACATTTTCTATCGTATGTGGTGTCTTTTTCTATATTTTGAAACACTCCAAGTCGTCAGCCACTAAAAACCTTGGAAAATTACTTAGAATAGTAAGAGCACGCGTTCGTGCACTGGTTAGAAACGAGGTAGACGGGACCTGGTGCGTGACGTGCACACGTGCTTGGCCCTGCCCAAGGTCTGTGTCGTCAGTCTGTGTAGGCTTAGCTCTGGGCCGGGATCCCCTGAGCTGACCCTCCTGTCCCCTCGGGGGGCTTCAGAGGTAGTCAGGTCGCCACTGAGGGGAGCAGACACCGCAGGAGACGCGGAAGCTCACATTCGCCGAGGCCACTGGCATTTCGTATATGCCGGGGGGGAGAAAGTGGCAAGATGGATGTCCTGTGACCCTGAGGGACCACGTGCCTCCCGCGCCCCCAGACAGGCAGAGACCGTGGGTGATCGTCACGGGCCAGCCTTGTCCGGCCAGCAGGAGCACGTCTGTGGCGTTCTGAAGTCCCCTGATCCCGAGTCCTCGGTCTCCGACAGCTCACCGCTCAGAGTCAGGCCGCCCTAGGGCAAGAACGGCAGCCAGAACGCACAGCGTTCTCACGAGAGGCCGTGCGCAGGGCGTGTGCGGGTGCGGCGTGCGGCCTTGTGGGGGCGTGGGGGAGGGGCGTGGGGCGGTAATGGGATCACCGTGATCCCCATAAACCCCACCCTGTGAGAGGGAGGAGAGCACATGAGGAGAGGGGCTGCTAGTGGGGGCTGACAGCTGGCCCGGGCCTGGCGGGCTGTGGGTCCGCGTGTCCCTTCCCTCCCTTCCCCCAGGCGAACTCCCGCCTGTCCCGCCCTGGGCCCTGTGCCAGCCGCCCCCTGCACCGAGGGGCTCCGCTCAGCGCTCCACGTTCTCGGCGCCTTTCATTTTTAAATATGCTGTCATCACGGTGACGTTTCCAACACACCCGGATACCTAAGGCCCCTTCCTTTGTCCCCTGCGCCTCCACTTAACAGAACCCCTCCCTCCCCACCAATCTCTATACTTTGCTTGTTAAAGGAAAACCCAAAGCATTAAATCTGG